GAATTGTTTCTGCTATCTGCTTTTGTTTCCCAGCACGAGATTCCGCTGACGCCGTGCTTGTTGGAGCAACATGGAGCGGTCTCCCTGTGGATCGACGGCCAGTTGTTTTTCCCAGTGTCGTCGCTGCTCTCGGGTGTGGCGTGCCTTTTTGCTGCTTGCTGTGTTTTTCATATCGAGTACGCGAAGGCGGCTCATAAAATGCTAACCTTTATTGAGCACGCGTTTTTGGGACTGTGCTACACGAAGCCGCTGGTCAAGGCTCTGGAACTGATCAATTTCTATAGAGCGAACGTGACTTGTGTGGCACAGTCAGCCCAGTGTGCCCTACACTGTAATACTCTTGTCAAACAGGCATTTAAATCGTTTAGAATTAACTCCTTCAAAGAATCGGCCAATTAGCTGGAGTCCGTGGCTCTGCGCGTGCCCTTCGGCATGCGCTTGTTCGCAGATTATTTGAAGGAGGTTGCCCAGAAGTCCTGTTGAAATGACCGTCTGACAGGGTACGAAGTGTGATCAAAGTGTTCCGGGACTGAATTTGTAGCCTAAAAAGAGAAGGCAGCACAGTGATGCGCGCGCAGCAGTCGTAGGAACGGGCCTTCGTGTCTCCTTATATCAAAGGGCGTCGCGCTCTGAACATTTGGAGCTGCGCCACGCGAGGTATTACGTGGGCCTACGAGAGTATTCTTTTACATCCATTTGGGAGTTATTACGTAGCCCCACGGGAGTATTTTTTCACATCCATTTGGGAGTTATTACGTGGTCCTACGGCAGTATTCTTTCACATCCATCGGGGAGTTATCACGTGAACATACGGGAGTTATCTTCTACATCTATCTGGGAGTGTTTACGTGGACGCAAGAAAGTATAATTTGACATCCACCTAGGAGTTTCTATGGACCTTGTTATTGGCTTAAGCTGAGCAAGTTGGTTCATTGCTTGTGAATGGGGCCAGCTGAACGTAAAAAACACAGAGAAAAAATATAACATTCGCACCATTGGACGAGCAACATTTAATGATGCCTCTTTTTTCTTTAATGCTAATCCTTGATTCCGTTTTTTTTTTCTTTACACTAACTTAGATATTTTAATTTTTTACGCTTGATATACATTTTCTTTTTCTTTACACTTAATTCGGAATTTCTCTTCCTTAAACGCAGTGTCCTTTCTGCTGTCGGAATATTCTCATCCCTTTTCTTCTGTCTCCCACAAGTCGGATAAGGATTGCCCCACTTCTACGGAGACGACGGGCAAAAACTTGAATGTTCTTTTTGTATCCAAATGATATGAAGCATTTGGAGTTCTCGGTGAACGTATGAACACTCTATTCAGGGCTTATCTCAAGCGACTTGCAAAGTTTGTCTTTCGCAGGGCCGTCCAACTTATCTTCCACAAAATCCAAGATAGCCAGCTTTGTCTCTGGATAAGCACTGCCGTTTCCAGCCTTACAATCGCGTTCGGAATAACTCCGTACTTCTCGGTACTGTACAGCGTATTGACAAGAGCGTCGCTAGTTACTATTCTTTCCAGCACCTTTGCAGCAGCACTTGTCAGCATTATTTGCTTTACAAAATTTGCCAACTTTCTACAGTTTTGTGCGTAGCGCACATCGCCGCTCTTGGAAATGTTTCTCATCAGTTCACCACAGTTTGTGAGCCCTATTTTTGCCCGACACAAACAAACTTACCGTTGGGTGCATCTCTAAATCTGCCTGATCGGTCGCGCGATGCACATATTAAGAAGTGACAAGCTTTGGGTTAACAGACCTGCATTTGCGACTCTCGAACACGGCTTTTATATACGAAGCTTGGTCAATTGTCCGACAATCAGTCTTCCATACGGGACCCCTTCGATATGCCCCATGTTCCACAGGGGCGCGCATTATATGAAGGCAGGTTCTCGTATGAGCCTCAACATGCGTTGGCGAAAGAACGCCTTGCTCGCTCCTTGTTGATACAAAGCTATTTACGAAGGATGCAACGCACATGATGTAGAGGCGTGTAAGTTAAACAACAAACCGCTTAATAAAACATCGGGACAATCGCGACCATGTGTAATGTTTGGGAACGCTCAAAATGAATTCAGTGCGATTCGGGGCAACAGAGTAGAAAAAAAGCCCGGTGAAATTGCTTAGTAGAGACGTACTGGTAGCTGGCGGTATTATCGGGACATTTTTCAATACTTGTTGAACTGGCCAGCTGGACACAATCGACCCAAACCACACGCACACACAAATACACTCACACAGCTGGAGAATGTGTATTTATAAGTTTTCTTGTCTATTCAGTTTAGCTGGTCATTTCCACAATAATGAAACAACTTATCCAGCTTAAGTCCTTAATATTTTTAGAAATTCGAACATGTCCTAAAATTTCCACCTGTAATAATGAAAGGGAACCTGCCCTATTTAGGCAGGTCCCTTTTCTTGCGAATTTACACCTGAAAATTGTTTGCTTAATTTATGTTCTTAAGATATGCATTCTGAACATGAATACCTGATCTCATTTAGTCGTTTTGTGTTCATTTTATGATATGGTAAGACTGAAGCATTTGTTTTATCAAACTCTGCTATCGCGACCACTTTTCGCTCTTGCAATTCTGTTAAAACTACCAATCAAACACTTTGTTTTGGGGGAAAGGGAAAGGAGGACTGTTGTAGTTACTTTTCATTACATGTAGTTCAGCGGTTAGTTGTTTAATGCCGCTGTTTATGTTTTTGCAAATATATATATATATATATATATATCTATATATATATATATATATATATATATATATATATATATATATATATATATTATTTTTTTTTTTGCAACAGTGAGCTATGCTAGAGGCATATAGTTTTATTTATTTAGAGCGTTTGAGAGTACTCTTCTCGAGTGTTTCAAAAGAACTCAAAAGACTCTACCGCTAAAAATGACTGTTTATATCAGTCTTATATAGAGACTCTGACAATTGTTGGTGACGTTATTATGATAAAAAGGCAGTGGCGCAGTTTCTATCAGCACGAACTGTAAGTATATATATATATATATATATATATATATATATATATATCACAGAATTAGAGTTCTGCAGCTCACGGACCAAATATTTAAATGTGCAAAAAATATAGTTTCATCGGAGAGCGTCAACATTAATTTCCTCGCTCAGTAATCAAGTTGCCTAAATAAAGCTCAGAAAAAGATGTAACAACAAAAGCACCAAAACTAATCTGTCCCTTCGAATCAATTGAAAGTAGCTTAGGGATGTCATAAGAAGGTTAGTGGCGACGGCGACGCAAGTTTTTCGCTTGCTGTATGCACACTCAGCGACACGGTTAAAGCGAACACTGACATTTTTAATATGTTATTTTGAAAGGACATTGTCGAGCACCAAATTTGACCGCTTGGGTTATTCCAGTAAGTCAGTACTTTCCACCGCCACTGTAGTTTTGACAGCAACCTTTAAGCCGCAGTTACACTACTCGCACAGTGTAAAAAAAAGAGACACTGTGCTCATTACAGACATGATGATAGAATTATGTGAGGACATGCCTCAAGGATATGTTTGCTTGACACATATATGTGTGCTTTGAACATGTCCGCAGGCAGCTTTTGCACGACCAATGCAAAAGGACCGTCATAAACAAAATTAACACATACAGACCATGCCTCAGACGTGTTTGCAGACTGTCTTTTGCATGATGTATGAGCACTGTGCCTGGGGTTTTAGATTTTAGTATAAGAAGTGGAAAATCCGCTGATCGCTTGTTCGCGTTAACAAGGTCGAGCGGCGTACATGGTTTAGACGCTCCGAAAATCCGCGAGGGCGGTGGTTCTTGAGATAGGCTTCATAGCGCAGTGGCAATAAAGTGAAAAAGGCTGGAAAAGAAATGTAGCAGTGATACAATGGATAATAACCTTTTATTTTCGGGTAAGCGGCAGCCGTTTTTATTTATTTATTTTCGACTATGAGGCAGCGACTCATTAGAACACAAGAGGAAGGAGCAAAATCGGTCAAGCCCTCGCTCAGAGTTGACTTTTGGTTTGTCGCCCAGGATTAATCGCCTCGTTCTTTGCCGCTCACGTATTGTTTAAAGCAAAACTTTTAAATCAACTTCCAGCGCGTAAATTGTGGTACGTTTTACAGGCACCGTTTTGCACTCCGGCTTATTGCATTTAGCGTCCCAAAACCGAGTTCCAAAGCGCAGTTTGTTGATGATGCTCCGGAGTGAGACCTTTGAGAATATGTTGTTTTCCGGTCAGATTAATTGATGTAAAAAGTGCGACACCGTTAACGCGAAAAAAAAATCGATGTCCTTTTTTTAGACTAAAGACTATCATTGACGAAAAAACCTGAAGTTCGCGCTGAGATTGTCGCTCAGTTTATTTAGGAAACCCTCTTTGGAATCAAACCCATATTACACTTTGATAAAGACAATGACATTCAAATGATGCTTTGCGTTGAAAGCGAGATAACTAGTCCACCAACTGAGAAACAATGATTGGGAACTCGACATGGCGCTCATCCTCCAAAGTTCGTTCTAACCGCGATGCCTTTAACACGTCCTCGAATGGTGTGTTTACCGTCCTCTATCCTGTCGATGCAGTGTAAGTGGTTCCGAAATGGCAACAACTTGCCCCGCAGCTAGGAACTGGCGTGTCATGCTGTCGAATGACACAATCCTGGCGGTTGGTTGTAAAAGTTCCGTCAAAATATAGAACCTAACGCAAGAGTTGCCGTCGTCGCGGTGTCCCAACTCGTGTCTGCTGTGGTTTCCATCGGCTGTCTGGCCGCAGCTTGGGCGACCTGCCGCAGAACGGGCGCTTGCTTATCGGATCCACCTCCGATGCTGTGCCACTGCAAATGATCGCGACGAGCAGCAGCGTGACACTTTCATGACGTCATCAGGGTGAACCAGGAAGACCACACTTGAGGACGTGGTAAACACACCAGTCGGAGAGGCACTGCAGGCACCATTGTTCGAACTAAACATCCCCGATGGTTCACAACGTATTGTACTATCGTGATCGCTTGTGTACAGCGTTTTCTCCGACAACGGCAGAGTCCACTTCGAGAGGCAGATTTCCGTTCCTCTGATTTCCGAAGAAGGCGCTGATGACGTCCACCCCGCAGCCGACGGTTCGCGTGACTTCTTCCACGGTTCCCAGCCGAGGATTGACTTCTGTCAGGTCTAGGACCCTGAGCTGTCCTGCACGTTGAACGGAGAATATGTAATCTCGCATAGAGACGTTCGCTACGAAAGACAAGTTGAAATAAAGGAAGAAATCACGGCGCCTACACAACTTATTTTGTTTTTAAATTATGATCTGCTCTTTGTTATCCGTTACTGTCATCGTGATATGTTTGATGACCCATGTTCAAGCAGTAGCCTTTGCAACAGTTCCTCTTTGTAATAAAGACACCTATGAAGCTCCTGGTAATTTTCCTGCTCCTTCCGGAATTTTAAACGACGATGAGATATTTCAACTTGATATTATGGACCATCGGGACCTTGCGTTGACTAAAGGGTGTCTTGACAAATCAGCTACAAGGTGCATGATGTACAGAAGCAACAGAAAACAATTGAATATTATCTTCCTTCTTTCCTTCAGTCTTGCCACTGAGCTACAATAAAATTGCTACGCTTTAAAACACGATATGCAATACAAATTGTAGACTGAGTGTGACCCATAATTACAATTCAACAACAAATGCTAAATTAGTAGTTTACTTAAAAATCCCTGCATGTTTATGAACAACATATAGTACTTCAGCCGAAGTGAAAAAAATGACAATTATTGTGTTTGGAAATGTAATTACTTATAGATAATAATAAACAAATGGAAATCTAACCCACAGTAACTCACTTTTTTTTTCTTTTACAGATAGCGAGTGCTAGGTGCGCATATATTATTAGTGTTTCGAGATGGAGATCGAAAATATCAAACTTCAGTATTCTTTTGGGTGTAAATTACGTCATTCCGAACAATCTCACCTGATTGGTGTACCTCTTCGGCAATCACGAAGGCTTCTCGCATTGTAAGGCCTCCGATAACTGAAATATTTTATTCAGAGTGAACGCGACGCAAACTCACCCTGCCGTCACAATGCAAATAAGGTCAAAGATAAAAGACGGCGAGCCACTGTCCCAGCGTCTTTAGAAAGTTTTATCTATATACTTTAAGCGAAGAGAGGAATGCCAGTGACCAGCGACACATCTCTGATCCGCGCTCAAGACGCGAACGCGCACAGATACCAAATGCTTTTCCATCACTGGCGCAGAAAAATGTCTCATGGCATGACGGAGGTGCCCCAGACACATAATATTGTGAAAACAAACAAGGCTAGAGCAGAAAAAGGAACAACAGGAAAACTGATACCCGTGCCACACGGGCAGCTCGAATGCCTTTTACCATGAATGACATTCGTGTGATCGGCCAATTAGCTCGCAATCTGTCGCTCGTGGAACGCGCTACGCCCGGAGTGTCGCGCGCTGGTTGGCCGTCCGCTCAAATGTCATTCGTTGTGAGTGTCATTCAAATTTCCCGCGTGGCACGGGTATAAGTATGGTAAGATGGCTAGTTGAGCTATTTTGTTCTCGTTCATCTTTTACGCACCGTATTTTCCGAACCTTATGCCATGGAATATACATTGTTAAAATTTTACTTGCTACGGGGTGCAGGCAGATGCGGATAATGAGAAGATTTTGTTTTCTAGATATTTCATGATGGCGAGACGTGACGAATTTTGTGAATGACGGCGTGTATTAGTGATCATTCATGCACAAAACAATCTTGCTTTAACAAAGTAAGGCATATGTCAAGACGTGCTGCGTTTGAGACGTTTTTCGTGCGGACTATGACCTGAGTGTGGACTATGAACTGAGTGTCGGCTATCCACCACGTATGTTTTTTTTTTTTTTTTCCTTAAAATTTATTTTCGCCATGTATAGGCCGGGAGCAGACTACGGCTCGGAAAACACAACACTAAGCAACAAAAGAAAACGCGGAAAAAGTTAGGGTGAATTCGAATGCTGCTTTCAGTGCACCCTAGCGCCCTCTTTCGAGAGCGCGCCATATCGGGTGGTGGAAAAAGAGCGCGGCAACATGATCACGAGGTCCATCCTAAGGTCCTTCCGAGAGCGCTTCCTGGACTGCCAGGGAGCGCTCTCGGAGGAAGGAAAGCCCTCGGAATAGAGCACGCGATCGCGTCACCGCGCTCTTTTTCCACCACCCGACCTGACGCGCTCTCGAAACAGCGCGCCAGAGCGCGCTAAAAGCCCTACGCGAGTTTAACATCAGACTAACAAGGAAGTTTGGGCTAGTTGGTATTTCATGATTAAAAATTAAAACAGCGCAAGGACTCGGACAAGAACAAGAAGGTAGACGAACAGCGCGCTGACTTACAACTAAACTTTATTCGTGCTAACATCAAGTATAAATATTGAACGTCATGACAAACAAAGATAAAAAAAGATAAAAAAAAACATGTAATGGACGCCACGTGCTCGTTTTCGTTTGTTTTCTCGACGCAAAGTGACAGCGCATAACGGTGGCTAAGGAGCACGTGGCGTCCATTACATGTTTTTTTATCTTTTTTATCTTTGTTTGTTTGTCATGACGTTCAGTATTTATACTTGATGTTAGCAGGAATAAACTTTAGTTCTAAGTCAGCGCCTTGTTCATCTACCTTCTTGCTCTTGTCCGTGTCCTTGTCCTGTCTTAAGTTTTAACATCAGAAGACACGCTTTGGCAGCCAGGCAAACTCGTCCGGTCGCCTCGCTCTTCACTCTGAATGCAGTGAACGCAGCCCGAAATCTGAAAACACCAACGTAATGGGCAGTTACCCATTATATATATATATATATATATACAGTGTATATAGCCGGAGATATACACGTGTAGCACACCTGATAAAATAGTAAGTCAGTGACGCCTGCGTCCGCGCCCCCCACTCTCATCGCTAGGTAAAGAGATGGTAGAAAAAAAAAAGAAACCTATTTCGTTTTTAGAGCGCAACTCTTAGGCACCCGTTTCCGGCTTGAGCGGCTTCGGCGTCGGCGTAACCGTCACCCCAAGGTCACGTGACCCCTACCAAGGCCACGTGACCTCTCCCAAGGTCACCCCAATGTCATGTGACCCCCAAAGGTGACCCCCACGTGACCCCCCGAAGACACGTGGCACCCTCCCCGAGGTCGCGTGGACCCCCCCCCCCCCCCCCCCCCCCCGAGGTCAGGCGACCCCACCGGAGCATATTAAAGAATGAGGGGAGGAGGAGGAGGAGAAGAAGGAGGAGGAGGAGGAGAGGTCTACCCCCCCCCCTCAGTACCCTTTCCTCCTCCTCCTCAAGAGCTGCGCTCCAATTCGACATTACAGGGAGTTGTAAACGGCTTTCACTTTTTTTTAGATACTGGCAGGTTACCAGGAGAGCCCACGAAGGCATAGAGTATCCAGTCAATAAAAATAAATTAAGACACATGCTTTACTCAGCTCCGGATAACAGGTACGGAAGAAAGGTTGGCGGCGCATCACTGCGTGCGATTGGTCGGTGAATGCACAGATTATGAGCACCGTGGTGATACAATTTTCATGCTGCTTGATTGTAACCTGGGCTCCTGTCCGAGTTAAACGGTTCACGGAAAGATTTCAGCAGCTCTCCACAAATGAAATTTCGGCTTTTCATTTAAGCCAGTTCGATGTGGTCATTGCCGATGTGATATTGTAAAAAGAGCACAGTTTTCTCAGTAGGCTTACCTGAAGTTCCCGTGCTCGGAGCGATGAGTTTATCGATGGAATCAATGTCGAAGCTTACGTGTAGAGATTTCGTTCCTCTAAAGAAACAAAAAACAACACGCCAGGCTTAGCAGTATTGTACACGGTACTGCAAAAACTAATTGTAACACGAATAAACATCGAGGGCATTCGCCAACTCGAGGAAGTTTGGCTTTTTTGTATCGCTCCGATACCTCTATATCCGTTTTTCCATTAAAATCATTTAGAACGAACTATGTGCGAACATACTGCAGAATTCAACGACAGGTAGCATAGAGAAAGTAAACGTATAATTACGATCAAAACCACCGTGAGAGCGACGCGTAATATTGTGATTTATTTCAACGTGAAAAGTTCGAATGGCAGGCCTGTCAGTTTCGCCAGTCAAATTGATTATCCCTAAGGCTCAATTGACATGCAGGTGATTCTGCGTAGGCTACAAAGACCGCATTAAAAAAAAAAAAAGAGGCTCCGAATTTATATTTATTTTTTCCAGATCGCTCCGTCGTTGTGGATAGCGTTCAGTTTTTCCGGGGTTTTATTTTACTTTTAATTGGGGGGAGGGGGGGGGGTATTTTTTTAATTTTTTTTTTCTCGCAGACGCGGTTTTTTGTTTTTATATTAAGTTGTTTTTTTGCCGGACGAAAAAATGGGGAATACGAGGGCTTTGCTTGAAAAATTGCGGACACGGGCATGAGATTCCCCAACCTGCAGATTCCCTCCGTTCGCACAGAGCTAGGTTGCAAGATGAGACCGATATTGGGAGGTCATCAACATTAAGGAAATACTGAACAGGCGATGGGATGTCTCGGGATATCGAGTTCATTTTTACCATAAAAAGTGTGACACTCAAGATGCCTCCTTGAGGGACTCAGTTTTCATGGCAGACCTTTTGAGAGTGGACTGTGCCAAATTTGACTCGGAAAGTAAGAGTCGCAAGGTAGCTCTGAATGAAAGCTAACATCCGGCCTCAAATGCCAAAACTATAAATGCAACTGAACAGATACAGGACTAAATCGAGTGTAGAGGGTTGAAGTTGGGTAAGCATATGATAGTGGATTCGGCCTGGTCCAGCAGCCGTAGATTTTACTTCTTGAAGCGCCCGTTTCGGCTCCTTCAGTGTAAGGAGAAAGTTATCAGCTTCCCGGGTACCGCCGAGGGTTCGGACAGATCGGCCCTATCCTTATGTGTCAAGAAATTCGCTGAAGAATACTGGGAACTCGATACAAGCTGAAATTGTTCCCGAGCAATCTGCCTGCTCTTGAAGGCTCTCTGGGCACCGTCCATTTTAAGAAAGAAGCGGTACTGGAAAAGCGCGGTAGTGCCCATTGATTTTATTAATTTAATCCTGTAGTTAATCTTTGATAACTGTAGCGTTAATAAAAGAAGAATGTCCTTGAAAACTCAGGCGCTTTTTGTTGCGGCGGATGTGCCTTACGCTAGACTTTATTATCTTGAAGCTGATTAGGTTGTTCATTGTGGGATAGCGGCTAAAAATGCCCCATGCTCTGTTTTGATTTATCTTTGATTCCTTACAGTCGGTACTGCACCCCGGTTTAGGACGACGAAATAAGTGAGGTGACGTCATGGGGGTAGATAACATTGCAGCATGAAGTATGTGACTGCTAGGCAGATTGGTGACTTCGTGAACAGACAGTTCGTTAAAAGATGTGCGAGCAACCTGTGTCGCCTGGTTGAAAATAAACCAGTTTGCATCCTCGCACTTCCACCGGGGAGTTCGTGTGGGCAGTTTGACAGGTGGATGTACTCGTTTCAAAATTATACGAAAATGATTACTCTCGTTGTGATAATGATCGACATCCCAGAACAGGAAAGGAAATAATGTGGGGTCACTAAGGAAGATATAGCTCGACGTCAAGGATCGAGTTGAGGCACTGAAATTTGTTGGCTCCGTTTTGTTCAGCAAGCATAAAACTGCGGAGGAGAGAAACAGTTCTAGCATTGAGCCACACGTGTCACGTCTTCCACTATTTCACAAAGGGTTATAGGCACTAAAATCACCAAGGATTAGGGCTGGTTTGGAAAGTGGTCATGAAGAAATTCAAGCTCTTCGCAAGTTGTGGGGTAGCTCCTGGGAACGCAGAGAGAACAGGCGGTTATCAATCGGTCAGACGGGACACGAACTGCAACAACCTTTAACGCTCTATTCGAAGGAACCTCAAAACGTGGAGTAGATCGCTGGGCAATTATAGCTACACCACCAGAAGTGTGCGATGAAAGGAGACGATCCCTACGAAAAACCTGAAAATACGTTATGATTTTGAAATGACTATCGTTCAAATGTGCTTCTTGGAGACAAAAGGCTAATGGGTCATGAGGGTCTAGCAGAGAGTATACATTGACATAGTTACGAAGAAACTCGCGACACTTATTCAAGGAACACTTTTGCCATCATGCATGGGACAAGATGAAAATCCTAAGTCTAGACCTTAAAGCCAATTTTGATCCGCGGTACTTTTTTTTACGTATCCTTTGGCCGACTAGTGTCACCACCAGACGCCGAAGATAAAGACGCTGAATCTACCATCATAGAACTTAGGCCCAGTTTCGTCCATAGGCTCAGCTGGTGCCACCATAAGCTCGCCCCTAGGGGTCTGCTCTTCCGACGGCTGACCGGGATTCCGAGGGTAGCCAGAGGTGAGAAAGGGGTAATCCCCGACCTCGAGGCGGCTGGGTTTTTGAGGCGCAGGGGGTGCAAACCCCTGCGCCTCAAAGATGAATCCTCGCTTAAAGGGACAATGAAGACGATTTTATTTAATTTTTTAAAATGGTGTTTTAATGCTTTTTGGGAACATAGCATGCCGCCCAATTTTTTTGTAGACATTTATGACGCGTATTTATGTGCCGACGAAAGAAGTAAAGAAACCGAAACTGAACCATTTCCAGTCTCGTTTTTGGGCCTCCGAAAATGGAGGTGACGTAGGGAGTGACGTCAAGTGTGAATAGTCGGTATCGGTAGTATTTAGGAGATCGAGACTCTGGTTACCGCGGTGGGTTATAGCAGCGCGGTGGCGCGGTCGTTGCGCCGACTCTGTCAACATGGACGAATGCCGCTCTCGCGAGCGAGTTCGAGCTTCCGTTCAGTGACCGAACACCAACGGAACGGGAGTGCGTGTGTGGCGGCCACTGCCATCACCCGACGGAGACCGCCCAGCCTGCAACGAGCGGCCCGCATGCCGAAGGACGGACGCGGGGGAGATGCCGAAGGGAAAGCGGCAGCGATCCCGCTGTTCCGGGATCCGGTTCCTCCGCGGACGTCCTCTTTTTGTCGTCAAAGAACACGAACAGCTACCTACACGTGAAAACTAGCGTCGCCCGAACGAATACTGGTCTTCAGTCGACCGTTAGAACAGCCATCTACAGCTACCATTTTGCAAAATCTTTCGAGTACCGTGTTCTTTTTTAATTTTATTTTGTTGGCCCATAGCTGCTCGTTGCCGGTTTCGCGTCCAGCGTAGCAAAGAAAAAAACAATGATGCTGCTTTATTTTCGGTTTAGTAATCATTTCCGATCCGATTTATACGTTTGATGGTTATTCAAGCGGAAATTAGAACCGTATTTCTAAAAATCGCGAACTAAAACGTGACTGAGGGCACGTTTCTCGTTTCGACCAATCGCTGACGCGTCTCTTGTGACGTCGCGCTCCTTGGCCCCGCATCGGTCACGTGAGCTCCGCTTCTCCTGGCTTCTCCTGCAACTCTTGGGGCGTCGCCCCAGTCGATCCCGGTACGATTATTACCGCGACTGTTTAATTGATTTGCGCGGCACACAAGCGCCGGTTTCGGCTGAAATTTGGCCAACGTGGCCTGAGACGTGCCTGGAACCCAGTTCAATCGCCAAAAAGATCTCCGAAATTGCTTTCATTGTCCCTTTAAGAGCCAGGATTCATCTCTCGCTCTGAGGACAAAAAGGCTTGCGCCACTTTCGATGAGGTGGCGGAGGACTGGGAGAGGAGGCGCAGGTCATCTGTTGACACCGCTGACCGCGCAAGTCCCCTTCGCTCGACATCAGCAAACGAGCCCTTGGATAGGAAACAGTATCGCTTTCTAGCTTCCGGATCCGAGATGTTGTCTTTGGTCGTCCGAGAAAGAATTTCCTTCTATTGCTTCCAGAGGGGGCAGGAACGCGAATATGATGGATGAGCTCCTCGACAGTTCACACAAAAGATAGTGGCACTACCGTAGTTTTCGTTGGTTCGGTCGGTGCTTGCACATTTAGCACAGGTGGCTTTTCCCCTGCAGGTGAGTGACCCATGCCCAAAGTGTTGGCAGCGGGACAAACGCCTTGGTTTGGGGTTGTAGGAACCGACCTTGCAGTTCAGGTGCCCGGTCTTGACTGCTTGTCAAGACCGGGGACAAAGTTGTCAAGTTGAAGGTTAGGACAATGTGCTTCTTGTTTCGTTCCTCACCATCGCGAAAGAGGGTGATACATCGTACAACAGGGACTCCTTGATCTACGGGTTCTTCGAGGATCTCGTCTATTAGAATTTCAAGAAGATCATCTTCGGAGTTGATGCCCTGCGTGCTGTTCAGTGAGTGGTGTTGAGTCACGGTATTTTGTAGTTCCTTACTCGCTTGAGTTCAAGAGGTGCTGTGCTCTGCTCTCCGATAGTGTCTTCCACAAGGAGGTTACCAGATGAAAGATTTTCTGCTTTGAAGCATTTTTTGATGACAGTCTCTAGTCGCAACAAAGAACGGGGAAAGTTTGGCAAGTCGTTGGTCTTCACTTTCCGAGTGCAATATTAGAAATTTAGAAAAGATAAAAATAGCTGGAAGGGTTGCGTTTGTTTTTGTTGTGTCTTCGGTATGACCCCTTTTCGAGGGTTGATCAAAAATTATTTAACTTTGGTACCCATAGAAATAAGAAAATAAATTCGGCTCCTGCGGTGTGCCGCCCACAATCGAGCACAACTGAGGCAACAGTCAACAGACCATAACGAACTGGGCTTTGGTGAAACTGCTGATCTGTTAGCACTTGCCCAGGTGCGATGCCCAAGGTGTGGTTATAGATTAGAATATCTGTCGCCACACAAGGTTGG